TGTCATCGACTAGGACGTTGGGTGTCTTCAGATCGCGGTGCATCACCCAGACGCTGTGTAGGGCGGCCAGCGCACGCAGAAGTTGGAGCATGAGGTGTTTGACTTGAGCCTCGGTCATGGGCCGCCGCCGTGCTCCCTTCACCATTTTAGTCAACTCATGGCCTGCTGGCTCCATCACAAGATGCCATCCGTTCGGTGCTTCACCTGCATCACATGCCACCGCATGCATTCGCACGATATTTGGGTGCCGCAATGAAGACAGCAGTGTTATCTCGCGCAATGCCTCGAGTGGAAATCCCTCCTTATCAAAATCGAACTTGAGCATCTTAATAGCCACAACTTCTCTTCCCCCACTACTCTTGCGCCGTACCGCCTGCGACACCACACCAAACTGGCCCTTACCGAGCTCCCCCAGCGTGTCATATATATTGATAGCGTGAATCGGTAAAGTCGGTCGCTCAACATCCGCATCACCGGGCAATGCCATAACGGGTACATCCGGCTCTACTGGTAGCGTGCCCGGCTGCGAATACCCCATATCTAGAGCCCGTGCGGATTTTGGCTGCCAAATCTTGCGTGATGAGCCTCCCGCATGTCCCTCGAGATTATCATCAGATTGTTTAGGAGGCTGTGACGGCGACTCGTGCGCCGAAGTCACCACCCCCCTAGGTAGACGAGCGGCGCCTGCCCGACCTCGCCCATCACCACCACGCCGGAATCCACCAATGGATCGACCACGTCCGCGAAGGGCATCACCGCGACCACGATATCGGCCAGCATCAACAAAATTCTGTGACCTATTCGCGTCTAGGACAGCATCACCTTCGCCTGTTATCGGGATGGTGTAAGCAGAAAGAGCTAATTGGGAATCGTGGCTTCCTTTAAATCGACCTTGTGACACAAGCATTCGCGCACGCTTGAGTCGCGATGCTCGTTTCGCGGCTGCTTCTTCGTTCATATTTTGGAATTGATGGACTACAGAGGGTCGGGGCCGCGGAGGGGCTCCTAGAGGGTGAAGCGTTCGGCCCCTTTTCGACCCCTTCCGCAGTTGGCAGCGCCGAGCGCGCTGGTAGATACCGTTGCGGCGATTGGCTCCGCCAGGGGACGGTCGTAAAGCTGGGTGCGAGCCAAAACGGCGGTGCGCAGTGCCTCACTATGCACCTGGTTCCTTCATCTTATGAAGCTGCCGAGTCAATTGTGAGAGTGGTGGGCGGGCTCAAAAAAATCACCCGCCTTGTCCCCAAAACTCCCGGCGACGGCGCCGCGGGTTCCTTGAACGCGAGAGCGCCCGCAGCGAAGCGAGGGCGCGCCGAAGCGTCCGGAGCCGGGTGCAAAAAAAAAAAAAAAAATAAGCCACGCCACCCGGGGCCCCGGGGATGCAAGTCTGGTTACAGGAACCGCTGCATCGGCTAGCGAAAGACGCGTTTTAGCCCAGATCTCACAAAACGAGCTAAGCCTGGGGGGTGATCTCAGATTGATCTCAGATCAAGCCCCTAAGCTAATTGTAATAGAACTAGAGCTCATAGTGGTAAAGCTTAGTTGAGATCGATGAATTCAACCGCTGACTCGATGACTATACGGGGGCCGGGGCTAGAGGCCGGGGCTACTGGACGAACGGGCAGAGGATCTGCCTCACTAGGTCCAGGAAGACTCTCGGTCTATTACAGTGCGGGACGCAACTATAACAGGGTTAGAAAGTATTAAGGAGAGGGGAAGAATCTTGGGTGGCTCTGTACCAGCGAGCCACTAGGGAGGTACAAAACTCTCTATCTCTCTATTTCTCCCTAGGGGCATGTTCAACTAAAAGAACAACGGGGGTATTTAGCTAAACACCAAGGTGGCCTCTAGCAGGATAGCGACGTGGGTGATTCTAGGAACATCTACCTTAGCCTGCTAACGGGTGTCTTTAAGTATGGCAGTTGCGGCTGCATATGTTGCAAGGCGGGCTCGTTTTGTTTGCATTGCAAGCTGCTCAGTAAGGATCTTCAACCTAAGACACATACAGGGGAGGAGCTTTACTTGCGCAATTGGTTTGAGTCATGTAAGCTCCGCTGGCTACTCGTCGCATGCTTCATCTAGAGCAGCTTTAAAAATAGGTTCTCGACTAGTCTGTTGAAAACAGACATTTGAGGTTTCTTGGTCTCTCAACAACTGGGGGGCGCGTGTTTTCATTCGCTGCTCTGTCACCATGATCCTATTCAACCTGGTGATCAAGATCGAGCGTTCGGAGTTACAAATCAGGAGCGCATCGTGGGATGCGTGAAGCATTCCTTTTAATGCGCCGATCTCTGATCGAAGCAGTGGCACTAACTCCGCCTGGGAACTTAATTTGATGAGGTTGCGCTGTAGCTGGTGCTGCCGCTTCAACACCCACCGAACCTAGAGAGCTTTCTTTCACGGCTATAAATGTCTAAATCGTCTAAACTCTGCCCTGGCTTTGTCTTTTAAGGGACTGGACATCTCAGGATTTAAACGACCTTGTCCTGAGATCTCTTCTGGTATATTTTTCTCCTTTGCAAAAATTGTAAGCATTTTGGACTCTCTAGCCCGCGTGCGGTGATCTAGCTCTGTTTTATACAGCACACTTCTCATCCTTCGAAGGTCCTCTTCAAGAAATGAGACTTTCATTACCTCTTGCTGGAGGTTCGTGTTCTGCTGCCTCAGGTTGTCAACTCGCCGTTTTACAATTGCTTCGCGAGCAATTGCAAGATTCAAAGTGTAGGATGATTTTTGTAACACTTCTATCTTTTGCCAAATATTAGTATCAAGGGTGCGTCTAAGCAACAATTTTTGTTCGTGCTTTGAATTTTTTTGGCACATTTTTGTCAGTTCTTTTAGTGCACCACATAACCGCTGCTCAAGTAAGCTCATGATTACCGCAGCATGATACACTGCACCCTTTCGCGCCGTGAGTTGAGTCTGATTTCCCTTCTGCATCAGAGCTTTGACGCTGCTAATTTCATGAGCTAACGCGACACGTTCTATCAAGAGGGCACCTAGGGAGATACACATACTCAATAAATGGATGCATTCGGGTCACTCTGTCGTAAATTGAGACGGTTTTGTTTGAGTACACGATTCTTTTCAGCAACCGCGCTCTGCGTGGGAAGTATCATATCAGTTGACCTCTTAGACACACCGAAATATACCACAAAATCGCTACGAAGCCGTTGGATCAAAAATAAACGTGCTTCACGTGCAGCTGTGTACGCGTCCCGTGCGACGCACAATTCAAATGATACAGTATCATGATCAATCGAGTTCTTGATAGACCCTATTGGTTCTGAAGGTTTGCTGAAGTATGAGTCAGTCAGACGAGACACAGCAGCACGAGTTCGGTCAGTTGCAATGCTCACACCGCGAGTTTCTGTTGCCCTGAGCCTAAGTTGTATGCCTACGTCTTCCTAGAGAAAAAAGTAAAAGTGCGTGGCTCCGCAATGTGGCTTCTGACGTACATCATTGAGAGAACGATTCAGAACGCCTGTTTCCAAGTCAGACCTCGCACGCTCCAAATCAAATCTAGTCTTCAATAACTCCATGGTGTTCGAGAGCGTAGCTGGTTTAAGAAAGCCCACGCCCCTAGTTGTTGCACAGGAGATCCCGCGAAGCGGATTCTCCGACTCAGCCCCCACCAACAAATCAGTTCGCAGAGGCGCTGGTGAATTCGTATTGGAAGTTCCTCCATGCATTGGCCCCCATGCATTGCTTGGCCCTTTGAGCACAATGCCAGGTCGAATGTGTAGACTGTGTAAATGCAAGGCAACAAAAGCATGTAACGAGTGGACGTCTGACTGAGTCACGTGGCCATGTGCGGGCAAGCATGTGTGTTTAAAATCTTCTCTATCCCTCAGCTTCCAAAATCTCTCATACTCTGTGTCGTCACTTTCGAATGCAATCACCGTCAAATGCTTATTTCGAAATTTGCTGAATTTACGCTGTCGACTCGGGTCTTTGCTAAGGGGTGCCAGTTTGTCAAGCCCTCCTCGAAGGCTATAGTAAGCCCCGGGCGTGCTTATGAAACCACCCATGGAATTGCATTCAAGGACCCGACGGCAGATTTCACTTATCCTAAACGACTCGCGACCACCATGAGGGATGAGTGCAGTAGTCAGTGATTGGATCTCCTCCGCACCTAGCAGACGCATGCGAGAGTCAGATACCGCCATCAGTTGTAGGAAGAAGTAGCCATCAGATAATGGATGACGGCGCACTTCATCACGCGGTCTGGTGGATACTCGTCTACAAGTAGATAGAGAGTTTATCTACTACAATGGAGGCTGCTAAAGCATCATTGTTTAGCTCTGACTGCATAGAAAGTCTCCAGACATGGGCCAGGGGGAGGATCCTATTGCCAAGATTTATGCTTGCTGCTGTCAGTCTATTTATTTTACCTTCTCAGCTACCAGGCGACAGATGTGACAAATACCTCACTGGGTAGGTCCCATCAAAGTTGCGCTGCCCGGTGACAACCCCCACGCCAAGCACATCGTTCGCCAGCTTGATCCGCACGTCAGCTCCCTTGTCCATGCCCGGCGAAGCAGCTATCAACATCCTTGGCGGCGCCGCGGCCGCCGCCGGGGACGCCGGGGCGGACTCCTCTTCGGAGGATTCGTCCCCCCCTCCAACTGCCCCTGCGCCGGGCGCTGCGGCCGAGCCCGCCCCGCCCGCGATTGCGCCCGGCGCCAGGGCATTAGACCCTCCTGCCGGCGGTGCGCCCGCCGCCTGATCCCCTGCCATTTATCCACTCCCCCCCCCCAAAGAACTTCAAGTTGAACTTGAAGGTTTTCCTGGGGTGCGCTCAGGCGCACAATAATAGAAGAGGATGTCAGCGACAGACGACCACTCGTACTCGAGTACGAGATGTATCTTCTGCCTCTCTCCTCTGCATCCTGAATATCCTGGCTGATATATCCTGGCGGCTATATCACCTGCACATATCACCTGCACATATTGTACTGCCGTAAAGTAATTTCAGTCAAGCTTTGATATTGGCCCCAATCTGCATTTATGACAGCTCAATTCGCGTGTGCTGTACCCGAAGTCCGGAAAGAAAACAAACGAGTTGTGTATGACATAGTGTTGAAGAGAGCCGGGATGTCTTGGCTCGCGGTGAGCAAAAGATATTCAGAATGCCGTCGTTTTCATTCGAGGCTACAATCTTCGGAAGTGGTGACGCAGTGACTACTACCGTGTTTTGACCCCACTATCCGTCCCCCCTCACGCCCCCTTTCCTCGGGCCACACGTCTCGCCTCCAGCCCCTGTTCCATCCATCACAATCTTTTCCCTGCCATATCCACATTTTAATTCCATTCTAGGATGGAATGCTCTATACCAACGTTCCCAGAGATCAAGGCGCCATTATTATTCAAAAAAGCCCTGGCGTGGGAAAAACGACGGGAGGGATTACATGCCATGTTCAGTAAGATGTTCGAAGAATTTACGCGTGAATGCTTCTTCAGCCCTCTGTTAATCAGCTTTTTTGGGGGGGATATTTCAAACGTAAATATAACAGAAGATAGCCAGTGCAGTCTCTCGCCCATCCCGCCAAGTCTGGTGACAAAAGCAGCGGGCCTCGGTGCATCTGAAACACGCATGCAACCTGACACTTCAGCAGACCATGGTGCAGCGCACCACATAGACAAATCAGATTCATCCCGGAAGCTTATTGCAAAAACAACTTCGTCAGCCTTGGACATGCCGATAGACATGCAAGGAGAATTGTGGTATCAGAACAAGCAGAAAACCAACGGAGTAAATGACCAATGGAAGAAGAGATACTTTTCAACTGATTCTAGCGGGGACAAAGCCCAATTATACATGTGGAAAGACGAAAATAAGGGAACCCTTCTCAATTCACTTGATTTATCAAAATTTAATATTGAACACAAAGCACAGCCAACGATGTCAATGCTTGGGCTCGGGAGCAAGACGCCTGCATCGATGGTGCTGGTTGGCGAGGAGCAAGGTGGGCAAGAAATAGTATTTCGAGGGAAATCAAATCATGAGGTACTGCGTAGGACGATGATCACAATTGAGATTCATTCCCTATAGGTGGCAATGTGGGTAGATGTTGTGGGAGAAATAAAACGCCGTTTTCTAAGGAAACCAACGACAGGCTTGCCCGCTTCTCAACCTGCTTTAGTTTTCCAGCAAGGGGATGGGTGCGGAGGGACCGGGTTAACTCTCACACCTGCCAACGGCAACTATTCTTCCCTATTCATATGGTTGCATGGACTTGGTGATACTCCGTTCAGTTGGTATGGTAAGTTGCTGATTTTTCCATATAACTTCATTTTTCCTAGTGATTACACAGGCACGATGGCTCAGTTTGCAATACGTTCGATGCCTGACACCAAATTTGTGTTGCCGTTAGCGCCAACGAGAAAAATCACCGTGTATCATGGCACCTCTATGCAAGCATGGTATGATATTTTTGGTCTGGATGATAAATGCGCCCAGGACCGCGAGCGTATAGCCGAAAGTACGGTATGTAGGTCATTTTATATCATTTTTGATTGAGTTTGCCATACAGGCAAGAATAAATAATATTATAATCGAGCAGGGCTTGCAAGCTGGAGTCAAACCAAGCCGGGTAGCAGTTGGTGGATTCTCACTAGGTGGCGCTCTGGCACTCCATGTGGTCCTCCGATCCAAGTATAAACTAGCAGGCTGCGCTGTGGCAAGCGGGTGGCTGCCGCTTGAGAGTGATTATCCCGAGCATCTAAGCGCGGAAGCATGTAAAACTCCCATCTGTATGTCCCACGGGCTCGCTGACCGACGCGTGCCTGTCCACTCCTGTGTTTGCAAGGGGTGTGGGTAAGTACAAGACAAAACTTCCAGGTGGGATTTGCCGGACGCACGCACAGCATCCTATCCGCTGAACTGAAACTAGCAGTTGCCTTTCATACCTATGATGGACTGGGTCACAGCACCTGCGCATCTGAAATGGTCCGCATTGGACAATTTGTTACAGCTGCAATGTGCCGATCAAGGTGACCACTCGCCAGACCACTCGCCAGACCAATAGCACACCCAGCCAAGTGGGATCACTGCACAAAGAGCCTGGTCATCCTTGCAGCATTTAGGTGGCTGCCGTACTGTCCCCACACCCAAATATATTGGGCAGCCGATGGATTAAGGACTAAAACCGGAGTGCCGCGTGGCGGAACCTGTCACATCTCGCCCCTAGAGATCCTAGAGATTTTAGTGCTTCGATGCTGCTTTCTTTTCAGGGGGCGGGGGGGGGGGGGGGCTTACGGGGCTTCTTCGCATTCACCTGGATGTGATGGGGGCGAGCGCGGTTCAAGCAAGATCTCATATTCAGATTTTGGTTTTGTCGGCACCAGTCTTCCCTTGCTAGAAAAATTTATGCACTTTTGCGCACAGGAATTTGGCACCCCCACCACCACACCCCCCACCCCCACCACACACACCCACCATATCAAAGCCTCTGCAAAACAAATCAACCGGACAAAGCATCGTGCCAGATTCTCACTGCCTGCCATCCGAAGGATTTCGATGGTAATGCGGCAAAGGGGCTGTCGCCAATCCTGACCCGCCACCTTTTGGCACGTGACGATGAATTGAGTTTAGTACACGAGGGGCGGGGATCGGCGAAGCGGAGCAGAAGATATCATATCAAGTGCCCCGGAGCGATGAGACTCGGGCAAACTATCATCGTCGCTCGCGTATATGCCATGGGGACTCAGGTAACATTGTGGAGACTGCAAGGGCCTAGGCCTTGTCATATCTTCAGCTTGCTCGAATCCTTAGTTCATGCCTGTGTCCAATTGGTTGCAGTGCGCGCACTCTGTGTACACGCCGCAACTAGCTCTTGAACAGCTGATCTTTGGCGGAGGCAATGGCTTGAGACATGGACATATCAGTGATGGGCTGCGTACCCTCAACACCTCTCATCATTACTCGATTGGAGATGGACTGGGCATCTGTCTCCAGTATAACCCCACCGTCGACCTACACCACAAGCTCAGGGAGGAGTTAATGTTCTGTATGCACCGCACGCTTGCGAGCTCGTCGACAGCGAGCATAACTGTTTCCAGGTTGTCGAGAAGAGCCCGGCTTTCAAGCTGTCCCCGGAGAAGCAAGTGCAGAGCCTCAAAGAGTCCATCGAGCACCATGTTTAGAATAATCTCGTTCTATGCTTTCCAGTTTGAGCGACAAAGATGGCACGGCACGTACCTCACCGGCAGCCCCGAGGACGTAGAAGCGCGTATCAGCACCACATCGGAAGATTGCCTGTACAGAGCGAAATAAGCTTCAAATGTTTGCTGACCGGGCATGAATACAATTGTATTTTCCACATGATCACATCAGCATCGCTTCTGGTTGTATTAGTGTTTTTGGTTTTCTTAAAGAGTTTAGCCTCGAATTTACCCTGAGCACATCACTATGCAGGATGTAATGTTGTCGTAGGCAAACCTGCTCGACCGCGCAGCTCTGAAATCCTTGGTAGTACTTGGCTATGATTCGATTGCCCTCAGAGTCGAGGAGCAAGACGGCGAGAATCGACGGGACAAGAGCGTCGCTGCCCATGCTCGGCGAGGACTGGTTATATCCTGGGATCTACAATAGTAGAGGGAAAATCCGGAGTAAGGAAATTTCCGTCCACTTGGCCTTTCGTATCTCCCACTAGCCTGAGCTAAAGGAAGCAGAGTAAACTCCTCCCTCAAGGGGGGGACTGAGCTCAATTCAGTTAAGAGTGCCAGAATGAAGGCCGACGGACCGCGCTTGGTGGCGCAGCCACCTCAGCGGGGACGGAGGAGGGTACTAGTAGTAGGGCGGGTAGAAAGATGCAAATCTTCCATAGTGATGACCTCATCTCTTACCTCTTCCGCATCTTCGATGGGAAGATGATGGACAGTCGAGGTCGGAGCCTCAAAGAGTTGTCGCGGCTGTTATTTGTCTTGTATTGTGGAAGTGGTAGATGACAATCAAATTCATCCATGAACCATAGGGTGAACTATCGAGGTTACGCAGTGGCGGTACACCGGCGTCTCTGTTATCTTCACGTCACCTCAGCTGCCGTAGTATACGGGGACCGGGGCTACTGGACGAACGGGCAGAGGATCTGCCTCACTAGGTCCAGGAAGACTCTCCGTCTATTACAGTGCGGGAGGCAACTATAACAGGGTTAGAAAGTATTAAGGAGGGGAAAGGATATTGGGTGGCTCTGAACCAGCGAGCCACTAGGGAGATACAAAACTCTCTATCTCTCTACAAGCAGGAGGGTGGCTACCATCAGGGGCGATGCTGCTATACGCAGGCCCGGCATCTTTGGGGGCGAGGAGCTTGCTCACGCAGAGTGAGGGGTCAGTGGCCTGCGAAGCCCAGCGGATGAAGTTCTTCTTTGAGCTAACTGAAAGCTTCTAATATCTACTTTTTAACTTGGCTCTCGACTACTGTCATAGATGAAACGATCATCTTCACCGGCTCCTCGCATCGTCTTCGTCGCAATGGTTTGTCGCATGCTGCGCATACTGACGCTGTGCGGGTGGGTCTTTCCTCATCATACGCTCGGCACCCTGACGACTTGCATGGCGGAATGCTCAATGCCGAAACGACAGGGTTACTGTCCAGTGCGCGATGCGCCGACTCAAATATTTGACGGCTATGATGGTATTGATTCTCGTTTTGATTTGCAACACCGATCGTTAATCTTCGTACCTTGTGTAGCATCGAACTACTCACAAATGGGCTATCAGTGGCATGCAACCGAGGGTGAGGGTTACAGCATTCGAGGCATGGTGATAACTCAACTGCCGGATGACCCATTTACTTCAGATCACATCACGCTTCCATATGATGCCGATGAAACCGCAACAATTGTGCTATCAAAAATAGACGCCACGCAGTCGTTTGAATACTACGGCAGATCAATCGAGCGACTACATGTTTACTCCTATGGAGCAATAGGCTTCGAAACACGGCTGCCAACCGCATGGAATGATGCTCGGAGATTTCTCCGATCTGGTTTTTGGCCCGGACAGTCTCTTTGCCTTCTATGTATTGCTGGTTCTAGGTTTAATGTGACATATATCTCCTATGGGTTGCTTCAAAAGGGCACCATAAATGAACGGCTTGTCGTGTCATTTTTCCAGCCTCCTCCCTCTCCGCCGAGACCGATGCAGCTGGCACTCTTTATTACTTCTGGGGCAATTCAGCTGAGCTGGCTGGACCTCGATGCAGGAAATGCTAGCACAATTGTCGGCCTGTCCCACGGACTGACTCCGCAGTGGGAGGGAATCTCTTATGATGCTCTGGACTTGTCAGCTGCTGTTGGATGCCATCACAACGCCAATTGTTCAACAGAAGACGAGCTCGTTCGTCCGATCGGCCCGTCCAAGCCACCTCATACACGCGACCATCCCTGGACATCCGCCCCCTTCCTCCACAATGGCCATGCAACATTCTGTGAATTCGGGTGCTCAAATTATTACCTGAATTGGACATTGACTGGATGTCAGGAAGCTTGCAATTACTATTACCGTTACGACATCACAGCTGGCTACAGTGATCGTGCTGAAGTTGCTCGATACGAATGCCACGATGGCTGTGCCATTGGGAACCTTCGATGTCAACCTGGATTTTACTGCCAACATCAAGTTATGAGTTTGTGTCCAGCGGGAAAATACCGCGACGTCGACTATTACCATGTTACCCGATGTGATGACTGCCCACACGGTCGATATCGCGAAACACTCGGCGGACGTTTTATTGACAGCTGCAACAAATGCAATATGGGACGTTACAATCAGAAATCTGGCTCCGATTCCAAATTCGACTGCCTTCAATGTCCACCCGGACGTTTTGCAAACGAACCAGGCATGACTCAATGTAAATGTATGACTTCGTATAATGGCACCTTTGAAATGAATGCTGATGGAACTGTCGTTTATCAGGATTGCAAGCCAGAAAGCTACCTCGACTTCCTGCGCCAAAACATCCTTAGCATAGATTATTCGCCTCGGACAACGTACCCCTAGTCCCTGAGTGCAGATACTTCAAATGTCAGTTATTCGCTCCTTCTCGCTCTTCTTCAAGATCGAGGCCTCGGCCGGGCGCTGCGCGCATCCGTGAATCCTTGGCGGTACTGCTTGAAACCTGTGCAGTGCAAAGAATCTCGAGCCGCGACCCTCGCGCGATCTCCGAACGAGGACTAGGTCAGCTTGCAGGCGTTGCACATTCGCACGTCGAGGCCGGAGGCCTTTCCCACGGCCATGGACTGCCATTTGACACTGGGCGCCTGCCTATGATCACTCAGTCGCTCGCTTATTGTCGCAGCTCCCGCCACGCGGTCGGCTGTTGTTGTTCCCCCTCTGCTACTAAACTTCACTTATGCACAAACTTCCTATTTCCTAGTAACCCCCATCGCAACAGTCAGGCCTTGCCTGTGATTTCAGGCGGGGCCTCACTTGGGGCCTCGCGCCAAGTCGGCGGCCAGATCTGTGTCACGTCGACGGCATAGTTTGAGATAATAGTCGCGGTAAAATGACCCTCCATCTCAGCTTGAAACGCACCTATGAGCAGGATGTAGATGCCAGGATCAAGATTGTCCACGTAGGCATCAACAGATCGCGTGCGCCTCACTGGACCCGTCGTCGTTACTATGTTGTGGTTTCCCAATTTGGTCACGCGATCGATGTCGATGCTGCTGCGATTGTCGGCGCGACAGAGGTAGGCTGCGATTGGGAGGACGGTGGCGTTGGCACGGCCCTTTGCATCAGTCTGCGATATGGACATGCGCAGGGTGATTGGTCGGTGGACAACAATTGCATACTGAGGATTGCGCTCGACCTCACAGCCCGGATTATGTGAAGAAGGTAGGCCCGCGGCCGTGTTTTCCCTTTCGTTCGCCGGGGGCTCCACGACATCATCCTGGACATGAGACTGACCACAGGTCCATTCACCAGAGACCGCCAATCGCCTCCAGCGTGCCGACTCGTCTGTGTAATAATGACAGATGAATAGGCAGCGAAACGCACAGCAAAACTCATCGAAGGACATCCAGAAGGTCTGCGGGTCTAGATTATGGATGAATTTGTGTCTGAGGCGCTCCGTCCAACGATGGGATTTCTGAGACCACGAGCCCTTGAAGCTTTGCGCATGGCCTGGTGGGTTCCGTAGCTTGATCAGTTTAAGGCCCTCGGGCATTACATCAATGACTTCATATATGGTGTAAGTAGCTCCAAAAAGTAGACCCAGGTCTTTGAGCGAGGGCGAGGCATGTTCGGCCGTCACCGCGCCAGCACCAAGGATGTACTCGTTCTCGTAGTAACGTAAGAGGCTGCCCCAAAGAGCGCGTTTGCCAACGCCACGAGCTGCCTCGGCAATGTGAAAACACTCAGATCGGTTTCCAGTGAGGAGTTCAAGACCATGGTGGACAAAACCAACCTCAATATTAGCATAGCTACCATAATATTTGGCCACACCTTTCTCAAGGAGTGAGACCCAGAGTTCTCCCATTTCAGTGGCGTGGGAGACGGCGAATCCGGCGCAGTCCTTGTGGCGCTGTTGGTAAGCCTCGATTGTACTCGCGTCGAGCACGGTGGTAATGTCGACTTTAGGTCTTTCGTCGCCATCCTGCTCAGGGCCTGTCACAGGTGGACGTTCATCGTGTTTGTAGGCATCGAGAGCAGCGAGGGCCTCAATGCCTCCTTTAAGTGTACCGTCACCGAGCATGGGGAGCGAATCATCTACCACGGTAGCCTCCCATTGACCATTGACATAGAATTGTAGACCGAAGGCGCCGACCGCTGAATCATACACAATATTTCCCTCGAGGTCGACCATGTTGATGAAAAGTCGGCGAATCTGGATGTCAATATCGCCGTCACCGATTCCCCCGGCGGCCGAGAGCATGGAGAGCGCCGAGAGGAGCCAACCGTCTTCTACGCACTCGCCAGGGTGCACATCATCCGGGTCACTACCGTCGGCGAATAGGACTGCATGCGGGTTAACAGAAAGGGCGTGGTTCCAAGCTCCTACGAAATCGGAGCCCGCACAACTGCCAAGTGCAACCAGACCGGGCTGAAAATCAGGGTCAATGAATTGAAGGGCGCCCTTGCGAGACTTGGATGGGTAACAATCCAATTCGCCCGCCTCGAGCTCGGAGAGGCGTTCGCGGCAATTTCCAACAGTCTCGTCGTTATTTAAAAGTACGTGAAACTCATACGATGCACGCAGTTGCTCATCAGCTGGCTGCACATGGCAGTCCGGCTTGCCTTCCCACAATTTCTGCAAACCCGTAATAAATCGATCGCGTTCATCCAATGTCAACGAAGCCACCCAGCGCTGGGTGCGCTTGGATCGACGCGCAGTGCAATCACTTGCTCGCCTATCGAACATGACACGCTCTCGCTCAAGACGCTCGAGGGTGAGCTTGATTGCAGCCTGAACCTCACCACGGTCGCGCTGATCGACATCTGTTTCGTAGTCTCTTTGCTCCGCTTTGAAATTTTCCTGAAGTAAGTGGAATCGTTCTCGCTGATCCTCATCCAGCGACTCCAGCCAAGACGCGACGAGGCGCATGTTGA